TCTGTTTTGCAGAAAGAAACTTTTGAGAATTTGCAAAATTTCAGTGTTGTGATTCATTCATTTAGTAAATATGATTATAGGCTGAGAGTGAGAGAGAACGAGAGAGAGAGAGATTTGAAGAGGATGATAAATAAAGACAAAACATGAAACAGAAATAAAAGAGAGATAGATTGATAGAGAGAGAGAGAGAGAGATAGAGAGGAATAAAGAGGGTGAGAGAGAGAGAGAGAGAGAGAATGAGAGAGAGGGGGGGGGGGGGATGAGAGAGGTGCGACAAAAATAGAACATTGTAAAAAAAAGCTAGAGAGGTTGACAGAGAAATACATGTATGACAGTGAGCGAGAGAATGGAGAATAGTGTAATCGAGGTGAGAGAGAAAGAGAGAGAGAGGAGGACAGCCAGACATGTAAAATGGAGGTGGGGGGGGGGCCCGCCCCCCCCCCACTCAGTGTTATTTAGGGTATGCATATGCTCGTTCCCTCTTTTTGAAAGCACCCCCTATCTGAGGACTGCAAACATTTCCGAACCCCCTTTCGCGGGCTTTTCGCGGGCTTTTCCTGCCTTGGAGACCCCCCTTAATCAGGGAAAATGCTCAATGTACCCCCCTAAATTCTGAATAATTTCTCAGGAGTCCGATGAGATGAGAGAAAAAAAAGAAAAAACACCCCTTTTTAAAGAAATCTCCTGGTGAAAAGTCAAATACACCCCTTTTTTTACAATTCTCGGGCCGGACTTTGTCGCACGAAAAGTACCTTTTTACCGGACATTTTGGCAACACGCATGCGGTCATTCTGACCCTTGAGTGGGGAGGGGGGGGGGGGGGGTGGAGTGTGAGATTACATCTGTATTCTGTGGAAAGTTCTGTTTGCTAATATTATACATCAAAATCATTTGTGAGCATGAAGCATGTGGGTGGGGGGGGCCCAAATTTGAAATTATGCGAGCCAAATATTAGTACGTAATGGTGACCAACAGTGACGTAATGCGGGGGGGGGGTCGGTGCAGGGAGGGGCGAGTTTTCCCCTTCCTCCTCCGCGAACGCGGAAGTTTTGACGTTTCATTAAATTATTAGAGAAAGATGACGATTCGTTGTACCGTTCTCAAAAATAATTCTCGTCTGAATTAAGTTTTTCCCCTCCCGCGCGAAGCGCGAATTTTTTTTCGATTTATTAAATTATTACGATTCTTTGGAGAGTTCTCGACTCTTAATCCTCGTCTGAATTCAGGTTCCCCCCCTCCCGCGCTTCGCGCGGAAGCTTTTTAAGTTTCCTTTAATCATTAGAGAAAGAAGACGATTCGTTGTACCGTTCTCGACACTAATCCTCGTCTGAAATCAGTTTTCCCCTTCCACGCGAAGCGTGGAAGCTTTTACGATTCATTAAATCATTAGAGAAAGAAGACGATTCGTTATACCGTTCTCGAAAATAATCCTCGTCGGAATTTAGTTTCCCCTACATCCCGCACGAAGCGCGGGAGGTAACATTAAATCATTAAAGATTCGTATTACCGTTCTCGCCTCTGAATCCTCGTCTGAATTCAGGTCCCCCCCCCCCCTCCCGCGCTTTGCGCGGAAGCTTTGACATTTCACAAGAAAAATTTACGATTTATTAAATTATTACTATTCTTTGGAGAGCTCTCGACTCTTAATCCTCGTCTGAATTCAGGTTTCCCCCCGCGCTTCGCGCGGAAGCTTTTTAAGTTTCCTTTAATCATTAGAGAAAGAAGACGACTCGTTGTACCGTTTTCGACACTAATCCTCGTCTGAAATCAGTTTTCCCCATTCCGCGCGAAGCGTGGAAGCTTTACGATTCATTAAATCATTAGAGAAAGAAGACGATTCGTTATACCGTTCTCGAAAATAATCCTCGTCGGAATTAAGTTTCCCCTACATCCCGCGCAAAGCGCGGAAGGTAACATTAAATCATTAAAGAATCGTATTACCGTTCTCGCCTCTGAATCCTCGTCTGAATTCAGGTTCCCCCCCCCCCTATCGCGCGAAGCGCGGAAGCTTTTACGTTTCATTAAATCATTAGAGAAAGAAGACGATTCGTTGTACCGTTCTCGACTCTTAATCCTCGTCTGAATTCAGTGCCCCCCCCCCCCCTCCCGCGCGAAGCGCGGAAGCTTTTACGTTTCATAATGTTATAAGAGAAAAAAGACGATTGGTTGTACAGTTCTCGACTCTTAATCCTCGTCTGAATTCAGGTTCCCCCTGCCGCGGGGCGCGAAGCGCGGAAGTTTTTAATTTTCATGAAATCATTAGAGAAAGAAGACGATTCGTTGTACCGTTCTCGAAAATAATCCTCGTCGGAATTTAGTTTTCCCTCCATCCCGCACGAAGCGCGGAAGCTTTTACGTTTCATTAAATAATTAAAGATTCGTATTACCGTCTCGCCTCTGAATTCAGGTTCCCCACTCCCGCGCTTCGCGCGGAAGCTTTGACGTTTCACAAGATTATGAGAGAAAGAAGACGATTCGCTGTACCGTTCTCGATTCTTAATCCTTGTCTGAATTCAGTCCCCCCCCCCCTCCCCTCTTGAGCGAAGTTTTGACGTTTCATTAAATTATTAGAGAAAGAAGACGATGCGTTGTACCGTTCTCTATACTCTTAATCCTTTTTTTAAAGGTGTTCTTTGTCTGCTCCTTTTTCTTCCATGCCTCTTCCGATTTGGGGGACCGCCTCCCCCCCCCCCCCCCCCCCCCCCCCCCTCTGGCTACGCACCTGCGGTCAGATAACACATTTTGATACCTTGTCCGACCCCGCAAGCTCAGGGGTTTAAGGCATTAAATTGCGGTCAGATAAGCATTCAGGGGCCCGTGTTAGGGCCCTGGTGGGGTCGAGGCGGCTGAGCCGGCCCCGGAAGCTCAGGGGTTTTAGGTGTTTAATTAAGGTCAGATGAGCATTTTTGGTTATACCTTATTATTTTATGACACTGGCAGGTCACTATTTGGCGTGGGTTCCAGGGGGCGGAGCCCCAAAAAATCAGGGGTTTTAGGCATTAAATTACCGTCAGATGAGCATCTAAGGGCCCGCCGTAGGGTCCTAGGTGGAATCCAGGGGCAGAGCCCCTGGGAGCTTAGGGGTTTTAGGCATTTAATCACGGTCAGATGTGCATATTTAGATGCCTCATTATTTTTTAACACTGGCAGTTAACTATTGTTTCTTTCTTGCTCTCATTCTATTTATTTCTCTTTAATATACTTTTTCAAAAAAGTGGGGGGGGGGGGGGGGGGGGGGGGGGGAGTTCGAGGCTCCCGATCCCCGCCCCACCTCGGGCCTGACATGTAGGAATATCAAGAATCATATTTATTGCCTGGCTGTAAATTTAGTAATTTGTCATTCTCCAACAAACACATACAAACGTATTTACTAAAAATGAGGAAAAATCTCGGAAATTATGTCTTTTCTTTCCCTTTCCTTCCTTCTCTCTTATTTTTTGATTGGGGGGGGGGGGGGGGGTCAACAGCCTGGGAGGCAAGGCCCTTTCGGCCCCCCGATCTCCTTCCTCCCCCTTTTCTTTTTTTTTCTTCCTCTTCTTTCTTTCCCTTCTCTCCTCTTTCCCTTCCCTCTTTTCCTTTCTTCTCTCTCTTTTTTTTTTTTTTTTTTGCGGGGGGGGGGGGGGGGGGGGCCAAGGCCCGCTCGGCCCCCCCCCTGGATCCGCGCCTGGGGGGGGGGGGGGGGTCAGCTTTGGAGGTAAATATATGATTCCTGAAAAGCAACCTATTGCACTTTTGGAGGACACCATGTGAGCGGTTCTTAGAAACATCTAGCAATATGTATATAAAAATAAAATTGTACTTAAAGGCCCACTGCACTACTTGTAGCTACTTGCGCCCTCTATATAACAAACAATGCCTAATCGGTGACCATTGGTCCCCCATGATCCTCTTTGTCTTATGTTAACTGAGAGCTGAGTTTATGAGATAACCACCTGTCCAGTGACCTTGCAGAGCGGTCTAATCCCTCCTGTAAACTAGTACAAATAAGCTTTAGAAAAGGATAATGCAAATGAGCAATCTTACAGAAATGCTAATAATATTTTTCCCCTTTTATATAAAAAGATAGGCCTTCATTGACAACTCTTGTTTCATTCTTGACTTTTGTCAACTTTTCACTATAAGATGCACATGTACTGGTAATCTGGAAAAGTTTTTTTTTCTTTCAATCTCCTCCCTTTCCATCGCCCTCTAGCTCTCTCCTTTCTTTCTTTTGGAGGGGTAAACGACTAGGCGTCCCCTTGCATGGCTATATGTGCTCATTTGATAATGAGATATTCAAATGATTAATTACTGTGTCTGAAAAAAAAAATTGGATTCATTCATTCACAATAATAGAAAAAGAAAAATAACCTTAGGAAAACAAAGAGAGGCAGAAAGAGAAACAAAATATAAACAAACAGGGGGGGGGGGTGGGTGGTAGTGAGAGAATTAATTCCCCCCCCCCCGCAAATGTGAAAATCGCGCCAATCGATATTTCGCTCAGTGGGGGGGGGGGGGGGGGGGGGATATGGGGGGGGGGGGGAGGGTATAGTAAGGAGTATAAAAAATGGAGGTTTTTTTTTTACCCCCAAAACAACCCCCCTCCCCCTGCGTACGCGCCTGATTATCATCATCATAAATCTTTCATAATAATAACATTATTATTAATATCAATAAATGCTTACATAGGGCACAGTGATTCACAGAATCATTATCGCCAATCATCTTCAAGTTCATCATCATCATCATCATCATCATCATCATCATCATCATCATCATCATCATCATCATCATCATCATCATCATCATCATCATCATCACCATCATCATCGTCGTTTGAATGCTTGAATCGGGGATTTCCCATCTTCATGTTAATTTATTGCACGAGTTGGGGGCGCGGTCGTGATCTAGGCACTTGCTAGATCCTCCGCATGATGCGCGCGTTACGTAAACACGTACCGGTACATGAGTTATATTGATCGACAGTGCAGTGTTTTCGTGATGCATGCATGCCGTGCCCAAGTGGATAATTTTCTTCTAACCCTTCTTCTTCTTCTTCTGGTTTTAGAATTATACAGTATATGCCGAGAAAGGAGTGATAAGTAAGTAGACTCTTGATCCAGTGGCAGTGCAATGTTTTAGTGGGTAAGGGTGAACATGCAGATAAAAAAGTCTTAGACTATTTGTCGTTCGTTGACGTTGGACGTGAACTAAAATGTGTGTGTTATTGATTTAGGTCAATTACTGTAGAGTCTACATGAAGATACAATGTAGTCTATTGATTCCATACACCCCTAGTCTAGACAGAAATAACAGTCTGGTAAGGACTATGGGAAATGTTCAGACATTTGTCAAATGTCAAGAGAAACTGAGTGATAGAGGTGGTGGACGTGACTGGATCGAGCCAGACATAATCTCAGATTCTCAGGCGAACATGCAATCGTTGATCAAACGTGTTATCACTGTCAATTATCATGGTTATGTGCTCGATTGTAACAGTAAAGCAGTTACAGAGCTACCAATTGTGACGCATTATGCGTGACGTCATGCATTTCGAGGGTCTAAAAACGCTATACGTGTGTTATACCCTCGCCCGCGCTTGTGCGCCGAGTCATGAAAGTGTCACGCATAGCTGATCTTTGAATTTGGCGTCTCCAGAGCTACCAAGTATCGCGCACTAGGCGTGACATTACGCTTTTCGAGGGTCTGAAAATGCTCTTACGCACGACGCACATGCTAGATTTTGAAAAAACGCTATACCTTATACGCGTGTTATACCCTCGCATGCGCGCTCGCGCGCCGAATCATGAAAATGTCACGTATTGCCGATCTTTGAACTTGGCGTCTCTGCATCTCTGCAGTTATGTGACGGTTTAGTTGAAAATATTGCCCCGGGCTTGGCCTGCTTTCTGAAATCATGTTTATTTCAGCCTGAATTTTTTCTAATTCTTTCAAATTTAGCTGACATCCCAGCTCAGCTCTTTTTTTCCCCCCATTTAATTAAAAATGTCACCATTATGTTGCCGTTATTTTTCTGCTTTCTTACAAAATAAAATCGTTAAAAAGGTTGGGTTGCCCTTGAAAATCATGGGGGCAGACATGCATGTACTATACTGTAAGGAAAATTGTGCCTGCATGCCCTAATTTTGGCTCACTTTGAAACATCAGGTCATCGCTTCAGAATTTTGGGTTGGGTGGTCGCATTACCCGGCCCGACCTTTTGTGAAAACATGCCGCTTTATTCGCGAAACGTTTGTAAATAAAACCCTCTAATTTATAAATGGTCTGGTACAATTTACCTGACACTTTGTGAAAGCCGTACATCAAAATCTACAAAAGGTTGCGTCTTTCTCGTGCATCTTCACATGATCTTCCTCTTTCGTTTGACAAAAGTCTGGCAAAACAACCACCCACTGGATGTGATGACCTGATAATTTGAAGTATGCCTAATTATGTTATTATGTCCTCCTCTTACATACATTACATGTACACTGTATGTATTTTTCTAAACTACAAATTGAACTGAAACAACTAGAATTTACTTTGCTTGTCAAAATCAACGCCCCTCCCCCCCCCCATTTAAGAACCAGGATCCATTCCTGTTCATGTACCGTACAGTAGGTGTTTTTGTGCGATAATATATTTTTTTTGGATTCTTTTATTTCTTGTCACCACCAGATATGGGCTATACCCCAATTCAAACAGATTACGTTGCTTTTACATCATGTGTAACCGTCGCAAGCACATATCAGTATGCTTGATCAAAATTTATAGGAGCTTTCCTTTGTTCAAACTCCCACCCCATTTGGCAAATTATATGCATTATCCAACTAAGCATATCTCATCTGCACAGAACCATGAAGTTTGACACTGAATTATTTGGTCCACTTTTTTTCGAAGATAATGAGTCCTGCAAAATCCAACAAATAAATGTTCCTTTTCTTTCTTCTCTTTCCAGATTTGGCTACATGACGTATACATGGTGCTAGTTGGAATGTAGACTATTATCTGTGTCCAGAGACGAGTTGGCCATATACAACAGGATATCGATGTGTGCTATGAAAATGTGCAGATTCTGGTTCTAGTTCTAGTGATTATAGTGTTTTAGATAGCTGACAATTTCAAAACCTTGAAGAGCCAGCATGGCATCTCCTGGCCATGCACACTTTCACCTCATCAATGAGATTACAAATAGCCTGTACCTCACCAGTGCTTACGGGGCCAGTAGCCCAACAGCCCTGCGCGCCAAAGGAATAACCTGCATCATCAACATCTCCCTATCGTTCCAGACTCCAACACCCAAACTACGGGACATTGAATTTGTCCGGATCGCCGTTGATGACATCCCGACGGCGCAGCTCGGTGTGCACTTTGATCGGATCGCAGACAAGATCAACAGTGTAAAGAAAGGCGGCGGGAAAACCGTCGTGCATTGCTACGCCGGTCGCAGTCGATCGGCATCTTCTGTGATGGCGTACCTCATGAAATACGAGCACTTGACGCTCAAACAGGCTCACGTTCACGTTAAATCGCGTCGTCCGGTCATACGCCCCAATCCGGGGTTCTGGAAGCAGTTGATAACGTACGAACACCGACTGTACGGTAAGAACAGCGTCAAGATGATGTACACCCATGCTGGGGCGATACCGGACGTGTATGCACAGGAGCTGAAAAACTTTGTGCATCTGTGAGTGAGATTTCCGCGTCACTGAATGCTTGTTTGAGGAACTGATGATATTTGAGTATTGTTTCTAACTCTCTATACAGCAAGAACTACATGTACATGTTGATGATGTTTGACCAGGCTGGGGCAATACCGGACGTGTATGCGCAGGAGCTGAAAAACTTTGTGCATTTGTGAGTGAGCTGATCTCCGCGTCACTGAATGCTTGTTTGAGGAACTGATGATAATCGAGTATTGTCTCTCTAGAGCAAGAACTGCATGTTGATGATGTTCACCCATGGGCAATACTGGGCATTTACGCACAGGAACTTGAAATTTCATCCGCCTTCGTGAATGAGTTGTGTTCATCACAGAGTATGTAAGCCTGTAAGTGAGCACATTCAAGCATAGCCTGTATGATAAGAACAACATCAAGATGATACGCCCAACCTGGGCTGGGAAATACCGGAACTGAAATTTGTTATGCATTTGTGAATTGTGAGTGAGATCTTAGAATCACCTGCACTTCTTCCGCTTGGTATGAACTGTGTGGAGTTGATCTACATGCATGCCGGGGCAACACTGGATGTGCACAGTCAGGAGCTGAAACGTTTTATGCATTTGTAATTTCAAGGGTGAGAGTTTTTCATAACTGAGTGCTAGTGTACGGAACTTACAAGGTCAAAATATCATCTGTATGGTGTAATAATGGGATGATACACACCTGTGCTGCTTATTAGGCAATATTGGACATTTTTATTTATTAATGCAGTTGTAAAGTATATCACTTCATCACCGAGTGCTAATGCAAATAAGGAATGTATTGTAATGCTGCCATTTGATTTTGAAATATTTGTGATTTACTGATTTTCAAACCATTTATCTTCAAATGTTTCATAGTGCTAAGGGAGATGTTCATGTACATGTATTGTAGACCATTGTTCGAAATAAGAATGGGCTTGTCTCTGGCACTCTTTACCCTACATGTACATATCTGCAGAAACTGAGAATCATAAAGTATCTTAAACACATCAGTTGTTAATGTGGAAGTGTAATGAACAAAATAGCCTACAGGGCAAGGAATGAACAAAGCTATATCAAGATTTAAGTGCAAACAGGAAATTGATTTCCTAAGATAATGTACGCAATTGTCAAAGGCATCTATTAAAATGTCAAAGACATTTGTATTAAGCGCTATATAAAAATTAAATATTATTATTATTATCTAAGCATTGAAAGTATTGGAGAACCATTGCATGCCAAGTGTTGCAAAGATGTTTTTGAAATAAAAATGTTGGCGGCATTAATGATAAAATACCTGTTTGGCGATAAATTGTCGAATAGTAAGCAAAATACTGATTAGAAAATGGTATAGCAGTATGCCTCATAACACTTTAAACTGCCTCAAAAAACAGCCCTGGGAAAATAAATAGCATTTTGAATATGATCGAATAGCAAATGAAGAGGAAAGATCGACAGTACCTGTAGTATATGTGGCTAACACTTTCGAACTTCATGCATGAATGAGTCTTCACTAAGCAAATAAATCTTCAGGTACATGTAGAGTGTCCAGGTCAATATTTAGTAAAAACAATGTTTATAAATTTGTTTGATGATTACAGTGTACATGTACATGCATGTAAAATTTTAATGATTTTGTCAGCAGTACATGTACATGTACAGTACATCTACATGTACTATATTATCAGCAGCTTTCCATATCCTATGAAAAAAAAATCTGAACCCAAAAGCCTGAATTCACAAAGCAGGTTTGTCGACAAACCAAGGTTTATGTACGTCATATGACGCGTTTTTATGCGTTTTTTTTACAAACCTGGTTTGTAAATAACAAAAGGTGGTTTTTCGAAACGAAAGGAGGTTTGTCGACAAACCTCCTTTCTGAATTTGGGCCAAAGTGTTTATTGAATGAAACACTGGTTAGACTGCCCGTAGCATACATGTACATGTACATGTAGGTCCTGCAGGTATTCATTGAGCTGTGTGTTATAAGATACAGAAATGACGGTTTTGCCGCGCCATATCTGAATGAGGCCTTAGTCTCTCAGATAATATATCATTTAGATGAATGATTTATTCATTTAATCGATAGACTTTTACATGTGTTACATTCAGGTTACTGCAGTTGTTGATATAAAAATTAAATACATTAGAGTGCTTTTTGATTCCTTATTTGAATTTGCAATTGTATTCAGTGTTTTTGTGCTATACCCAATGAACAATTTCTATTTGTTTGAAAATGGGCTCAAATCTCTTTTTAGGGTCTGGGGATCTAGATTGGGATATAAGAATTGCTCTTAGTCATGAAGATGAATGATTTAATGTACAACCAATTGACATTTTCATGTATTACTTCAGGTTACTGCAGTAGTGCAGTTATTGATTTAAAATAAAATATATTTGAATACTTTTCCTTAGTTGAATTTGCTATTGCATTCAGCGTTTTTGTGTGCTTTACCCAATGAACAATTTCTATTTGTTTGAAAATGGGCTCAAATCTCTTTTTAGGGTTTGGGAGCCCGAATTGGGGTTTAAATGAATTGCTCTTGATCTCTGAATCCATTTGATTTCATTACTCATTTTATACAGACTGGGATACAGTATGTCCCTGTAAACTCTGGCTTGCAGTGAATTTACCGGGGCATTTTCCCCATGCTTTGATTAAATTTATTTATTCAGTTTTTTCTTTGTGGTGCAATATGTACAGTTGTCACTGATGCTACCTAAAATTATTTTTATGCTGTCTGTTGTCTGAAATATTCCATGACAGGGTTGTTTATCTGAGCTTATGCTCATTTTTGGGTGATAATATTTGCTGTTTGTTTTGCCCATTTGTCTGCGTTGATGCAGAGTGTTTTCGAGTGCCATATTGGACTGTATTTTTTTGTTATGTTACATCATTGATATATTACCAAAGTAGAATAGTAAATACAGAACTTCCAACAGTTATACATGTAGTTAAAACAAAACATAATTAGAGAATGATCTAAATATCATCTGTTTCTATGAAATTCTATCTGTACATTTAATTCTAAGGAAGAAAAAAAAGTGTACACCTCTATAAGTACATGTACACTGTACATTCAATGTATGCACATGTGTATAGGTAGACCGCTTTTATTATAACATCATTAAACCCAATCAAATTTTACTCCTAAAAAATGTATTTATCAAGAGTTCCTAAAAGTGCATTTATTTATTCTTTTTGTATGCATGCTCTGAGATTTTCTACTGTTTTATGCCTACAGTATATTTATTTGTAAAATAGACAAAGTTAAAGAGACAGGAACGGCGATCTTATCACTCACTTTAGACCATTGTGTATTCATAGAAAATTAATCCACTGTCAAATGCTTGAAATTTATATTGACGTGCACTGTATGCATGACTGAAAAAATTATATACAGTATATAACGATAAAAGGTAAAATCACTTTCTTGTGTTGTTTGTTAGCTGTCTTTTTCTGAACAATCATTCGGGGAGGGTCTGATCATTGTTTGCTTTAATGTATATTTTGGGCAACTGGGTGACCGTGATTGTTTATGAATGTGTAAGATGAGATTACAGGGTGACCCAAGAAAAATGCAGTGATTGTATATTATGCAGACCTTACATGAACAGGGTGTACCTTAAAATGTGTTGGGTATAAATCATCCAAAGTGTTCTCATTGTATTTAATCATCATCAATTTACACCAGAACCACACGACATGAATGTAATTAGTCTCTAAATTTGATTAGTCTTTCCAAACTTTGAGAGAATAACTATTACAGTGAGCATTTTATTGGGTTACCCTGTAATACATGGAATTTTGACACAATAAACCGAAATGAATGAAGAAAAAAAAGAATGAATGAATAATTCAAATTCGATGAAGATGCAATGTCGTATTGCATGCACCATTACATGTAAGTACATAGGCTTTAACATACATGTACATGCACATACACAACTCAAACTATTCTTTAGTTGTCAAATATACATGTTTTGTTGAAACAAATCCACAAGGTTATGGGAAGTAAGATCAAATGGGTAATAATATTGGTATAGGATTCTTCTGAATTTATCCTTTAGACTAGGCTAATGATATTGATATGATTATGATATTCATGTCATGGATCCGCAGTAAGAATGAATTTTTACCATTCCTAATGAAAAATGATGTTTACCGGTAAACACATTCAACTGCTTATGCTACGGTCACAAATGTTCGTACGAACGATTCGTTCGTACGAATCTCCCTGTTTTTACGAATTTCAGAATTCGTAGAGATTCGTAGACGGTACATAGTTTCTTACGTCCTTCTTACGGAGTTCGTACTAACGCCGTTTAATTCGCAAGAAGAACTTAAGGCCTTCTTGAGAAACGAAGTGATTTTCGGTTATACAATGGCCCTAGAGTTCGTACGTTTTTCGTAAGAACGCCTTGAGTTCTTCTTACGTCAGACTTACGGCCATCTTACGAGTTTTGATCTTGCAAGGTGGTCGTACGTGTAACTCACGGCATTCACAAGTCATTCGTAAGAAGATCTTACGATTTTTTTAAATATTTGGTCGGGTTGCAAAAAAAGCGCTGCTGTATACGGTCGAAAATTTGAGTGTTGAAAGTTTGATATTTCACGATGGCAGTATTGCCAAGAAGACTACAACTGCAACTGCAACTCTATCAAGTGATTCTTGAACTTACTGTTTTTTGTTCTCCATATTTTTCCCTCTACAGGGATTTTATTGATTTTCATTTGAAACAAATTAACAAATATATATTCAAGGTAATTTACATTTATAACATTAATACAATTGGTTTAGTACAATCACATAGCAGATGTATAACTTTTTCAATCTCTTCATTACAAAACGTACATTCTTTTCTTGGGACTAAATTCATTTTAAACAGTAGATCGTTCGTATATAATATGCGTTGCAAAACTTCAAACTGAAACCATCGTAAGCCCACATCAATGGTAAAATTAAATCCAATAGAACAATATGTTTCCCAACTCTTATCATTCAGGTCGAAATACACGTTTACATAGTCCTTTTCTTCTCTTTAAAAAAGTTGCATAGATATGTAAACATCCTTTAATACATTTCATAACAAATGTCATTGTATCTGGGAAAAGAGGTTGTGGCACCATGTTAAAAAATAGTACAATTGTTAAACCCTTGTCTAATTGCATCGCATAATCCACGATAAAAAAGAAATTTATTTGAATATTATACTTTTCTTGGAAATGTTTCAGAGAGAAAAAAAAATCACCATTTGTCTCTAAAATATCATTGACAAAACGAACTCCCTTTTGACACAATTTTATATCATATATTGAGCTATTACCTATTTTAATGTGATCATTATTCCATAAGGGTTGGCAAGAAATGTTATCACTAGAGCGTACTGTAAGCCATGAACATTTCTTTCCAAAAAAGGTTCTTTGTTTTACCTGCCAGTTCCCGAAAATAATTGTTTCCCGAAAATAATTGTTTACTGTTAGCATATCTGTTACTTCCTTTATTATAAAAGCAGCCATGTTCACCGAGGAAGTCAACAAGTTTTTGCTCTGTGGTGGCATCAAAGTCATACTTCTCCTTTCTTAGTTTCCCCGTTGCCTCATCTTCATCGCTATCAAACTGCCGTCTTGATGGTTCTCCCTCCTCGTCGTCATCGTCTTCATCTTCCATCGCCTCCTCCCGGTCGCTTTCGATGGCTTGATATTATTGCTTGATATTATTGTTGCTGCTCTCCTCCTCTTTCTCCTTCCTCCTCATCTCTTTCATTACGTTTGTTTCCCTTTCCTCTCTTTCCTCTAACGGATTTCCCCTTTGGTCCCATATTTCTTCGACAGGGGGGCACCCTCGACGACACTATGAACAGGCGCA